AGCAGCTACTACCTCAACGTCAATGGCAGCACCAGCAGAAGCCTCAGGAATCTCTAGCACCCTTCTCACATTGGCAACGAGATTCGCAAACACGTCACGGGCGTCGTAAATTGGGGCCTGCCGCTGATACAACTCCTTGACCTCAAGAACCGGTGGCTTTGGTTTCTGAAGAAGCTCGATGAACTCCAGATTCGCATCGATCTCAGCGAGGTCCAGCATGTCGGCTGGCCTTCCCATCAATCTCTGTAACTAACCTAGCAACCTCGCTGACTCGTCCCGCAAAGCCGCGAGACATCTCATCTCTTGTTCTTGTAACAGCTCCATCAACTCTAGCATCCTGGAGATCGTTAGTAGAGCTCAGCTAACTCTTCAACAAAGCTATCTCTTCCTTGTCCTTGGGACGTCTCGACTCGATCTTCATCAACTTAGCATCCCACTCCTCCTTTTTCCTTTCCGCAGAAAAAGCATCGTTCTCAAGAGCCATGTTCTTCTCGACAAGCTCGTCTAGCCTCGACTGCAGGGCGATGTTGGCCTCTCTGGCCTCGCTAAGCTCACTCTCCCTGGTACGAACATCCTCATCGTAATCACCAACCAGTTGATTCAGATTAACAAAAAGCTGCATACAAAGGAAGAAAGGAGATGTAATATCAAAACAAGAGAAGCTAAGTCATAAGGAAAATACTAAGTGAGAGGAGAATCAAACCTCCAAAGCCTTGGTGGGAAAACAGCGCCAGGAGCCGAAGACATAGAGTTGAGAATAACCGAAGTTGTTGCATCGTGACTCACCGGTGCTGCATTCTTAGCAACAGTTACGGGAGATGTGTCCATCTTCTGTCTCTTCGAGAGGGTTCCATTAGGAATACCTTTTTCTTTACCGCCAGAAAGGAGAGCCCTCTTCCGTGACTGATCACGCCGCCTCACAACCTCGTCAAGGGTAAGGGAAGAAGAGTGAGGACGCAGGACCGAAGCAGCGAGGGTCATCGGTGCTGCATTCTTTGGACTTTTCACCCGCGACGACGTGGTCGCCAAATCCGTGGTCGTCGGTGTCACAGTCCTCGGCTCACCGGTTCCCAACGCCTTCGCTGCCCCTGCTGCTCCAAGCAAAGATCTCCGACGAGACGATGACCTCTTCTCGCCTTGTCCGAGAATCTTCCCCGAAATGACCATAGCAGATAGCGCTCTCTCGATCCTCTGGCGGCTAAACGATCCTAGCCAATCACAGGAAACACTTGCTTCACTGCAGAAAATAACAAACCGAGAGTTAACATATAAGGCAACACACGCTAAAAAAAAATTTGTTTTTGAGTGTTGGTTATCTCTTCTCTCCCATCCCGTCTTGACAAGGACAATGCAATCCGCTTCAATGGTTTTCTCTGAAATCTCA